AGCCCAGGCNCCACGCCNGACCCCCCCCCCCCCCCCCCCCCCCTTGCCCCCCCCCNCCTTTTCCACCCTCGGCAGCCAACTTACCCTGCTTCTGGACCGGAAGGAGCCGTAGCGCTGGCCCCGCCCCCAATGTAGAGCTCGGTCGGCCACCGTGGCCCCGCTACGTCGCACGCCGCCGCCGCCGCCTCCTCCTCCGCCGACGACGACGGCGACAGGAGCCCACAGACAAGAGCGATGCGAGTCAATGCTGAATTGTTGCGGGCCGCGATCTCGACACGACACTGGAAATACCAAATGGGATGAGGGAGAGGGGGAGATTGAAACGAGAGCGAGACGGAGAGGAGGAGAACAAGAGGTGCGCAAACGAAGGGGGGCCCGCGATTGAGCCCTCCCTCCCTCGTGCCCACCTCGGCCACGGCGGGCTTTTCGGCAGTGCGGCGCGCGCGGGCAGGGGGTATCGAGGCCACCGCTGCCAGACTTAGAGCAGACCGCAGTCTCGGAGGTTGACCTGTCGGCGCGGCGAGCGAGAGCACAAGCAGAAGCAGCGGCAGCGGCAGCGGCAACAGCACCGGCCAGCACAACAAAGGCGTCCGAGGCGAAGAGACAGCAAGACAAGGTCAGCTCGCTGCGCTTTCCCGCAAGGCCAGCTCGCTGGGCTTTCCCGCGACGCCAGCTCGGCGCAAGGGCACGGCCCGGCACACGCCACTCACCTGGATGATGATGTCGTTGACCGCCGACATGACGAATCGGATCTGGGATGTGTCGGTGGCGCAGGTAAAGTGGGTATAGATGGTCTTGGCGTCGCTCTGGTTGAGGCTGACGAAGCGGTTGACAATGTAGTCGCACGCGGCGTTGTAGTCGGAGCCGCCCGAGTAGTCGGAAAAGTAGTCGCCCATAGGCGAGATGGGCAGCTTCTGCTTGAAGAGGTCAATCTTGTTGAGGAAGAGGATGATCGAGGTGCGCACAAACCAGCGCGAGTTGCAGATGCTGTCAAACAGCGTCAGGGCCTCCTGCATCCGGTTGACGTTCTGGTCCTCGTACAGCAGCTGGTCGTACTCGGAGATGGCCACGAGAAAGATGATGGCCGTGACGTTTTCAAAGCAGTGGATCCACTTTTTCCGCTCCGAGCGCTGGCCGCCCACGTCGAACAGCTTGTAGTTGAGGTCGCCAATCTTGAAGTGCGTCTCGGTGATGCCCGTCGTCTTGACGCGCGAGCGCAGCACGTCCTGGTCCGTGGGCAGGTAGTTGGGGTCCGCCATCCGCTCAATCGAGTCAAAGTAGCTGGCGGAAGGGCGGGGAGGGGGGCAGAGGTCGGAAGCACGTCGAGAGGCAAGCGGTCAGCCAAAACAAGGGTCGACGGGAGTGCCGAGTGGACGGTCGCGGCGGTTGGGGGTCCAACGGCGGCCCAGCCGACGCTGCCACACAGGCGACTGCCCACTCAGGCGACACTGCCACTCGGGCGACACTGTCCCCTCAGACGACCGCTGCCACTCACTACTTTGCCGAGTCGTTGAGCTGGTACTCGCGGCTCCTGGTAAAGCACTCCTGCACGCCCGCGTCCTTCCAGAGGCCGTAGATGGCGTCGGCGACCTCGCGCGGAAGGACCTCGCTCTCGATGCTGGGCGTGAGGCCGAGGATGATTTCGGCGCGGCCGGCGTTGCCGCCGTCTGCGAGCGGGATGTCGAGGCGCTCCATGGCGTCGAGGATGACGCGCATCGACTGGAGCGTGTTTGAAAAGATGATTTCCTTGTACGAGTCGCGCTCCTCTGGCGAGTAGGATCCGTGGTTGATGAGCTTCATCTGCTTGAGGATGGTCGACTTGCCCGACTCTCCGGCGCCGAGGAGGAGCATCTTGATTTCGTTTTTCTGGGCCAGGCGGTCCCTCTTGAGCTGCGCCTCGATCTCATCGTTGCGGGCCTGGCCCTCCTTGTCGACCTTGGACGCTCCGCAGCCCATGGTTGCGGACGAGGGGGTGGGATGGGTGGGTGGCGGGGAAGAAGGCGGTGGTGGTGAGGGTTGTGGTGGTGGAGGAACAGGGCTGCGTATATGCCGGTCGAGGTCGGCGAAGGCGGTCGCGGCGTCGGCGGCAGAGGGACGGTGGTGGCCGGGCGAGCGAGCGAGACCCGAGACGAAGCGCGAGACGGGGGGAAAGGACAGTGGATGGGCCCGGGTCAAGGAGCGGCAAGGGCGAAAGGGGGGAGGCGGCCGAAGCGAAGCGAAACGAAACGGAAGGAGGCGGGCGGGCGGGCTCTAGGGAGAAAGAGACCAACTAGTGGCCGGCTGAGAGAGACCAGGTGCGCAGCGACGATGGGGACCGGTCGGAGGTGGTGGGGTGGCGGTGGTGTCCGTGGTGGTGACGGCGGTGGGTGAATGGTGGTGGTGGTCCGAGGAGCGGTAGGGCTTGCTCGCGTGAAGAGACGACTGGACTGGATTGGATGGCCAGGGCAAGCAGCACGACAAAGGGGCGAGGGGATGGAAGCAGGCCAGGCCAGGCAGGATGCCAAAGGCTGAAGCGGGGGGGGGCAAGCGAAGGGGTCAAACCGACGGCAGGCGGGCGGGCGGGCGCAACGACCAAGGCTAACGGCGAGACAGATCGGGCAGGTCCAGAGGCTAGGCAGGGCTGGGCTGGGCTAGGCTGGGCTGGGCTGCGCTGGCTAGGGGGCCCACGGCACAATGGGGCGCTAGGGGGCGACGGCGGCGTCGTCGTGGGTGGGACCTTGGGCCGCCTCTCTCTGCTTCTGTCTGCAGGCAGGTGGGCAGGTGGGCAGGCGGGCCGCGGCAGGCAGGCCAGGCAGGGCTGGGTTGCTCGAGCCAGGCGGGCCAAGGCCAGCAGGCGGGGGGACGCAGCCAGGCGGGGATAAACTAACGCGGGCGGGGCGTAGCCAAAACCAAGAAGTAAGGCAGGCCAGGCGACTGCCGCCGCCGTTCTCTGTAGGCTCGCCTCGCTTGCTTGTCCCAGGCCTCGCCTGGCTGCAATCTGCCGCTCCCTCTTTGATCTGGCCTCTGGGCTGCGCTGGGCGGTCCTAGGCTGTAGTCGGCGAGCGAGCGTGCGTGCGTGCGTGCGTGCGAGCGAGCGAGTGTCCCGCTTCTCTGGCAAACAAAGGTCGGATCGATACGATGTTCTGCTGCTTCTTGAGCCGTGGAATTGCCGCTAGGCGGAAGCGCTAGGTGGGGAGAGGAGGGCGTGCACGGGCGCACGGACGGCAGATGGCATCCAATGCGACCGCCGCCGCCGCCGCAGCAGCAGCATGCCACGGTGCCCGCCTGGCCTTTTTTCTCGATCTAGCTGCTCCTGGTGTGGCGTCGTCGGGTTGGCAGGCGCACATCCCGCGCGCTCGTCGCCTTTGGGTACGGTACCGTTCCGAACCCAATGTAACGTACGTGCGTGCGAGGACCACGCGCACGGACGCACGGTCTAGATGGAAGCAGCGGACGGCAGAAGCAGCACGCAGGGGATGCACGCACGCACGCACGGGAACGACGACGACGAGCGGGGTCGTCGTCGTCGTCGTCGTCGATGCATGCCGTTGTCTCGTCGACTTGCCAACGCCCCGGACCTGCCCTGCCCTGCCCTGCCCTGCCCTGCCCTGCGCTGCGCAGCGCAGCCTACCCGGTGGAGACGGGTCGCGGCGGGTCTGGTCAAGTCGGGTCGGGTCAAAGCCCACCCCCGCCCCCATGCCAGCAACTTGGGCTTGGCTTTGGCTTGCTTGCAGGCTCGAGGCGGTGAGGGATCGAGGCGGTGAGGGAGGCAAAGAGAGGGGGTTAAGCTCGAGCTCGAGTTCGAGAGCGTAGGTACAGCGAGCGAGCAAGCTTGCAAGCCAGGCGGAAGCCAGATGCACGCAGCGGCGCTACAGTACGCTACGGCTTCTCGCCCTTGCAGCGGCGACTGACCTTTCGTCGCTACATACGGGCATACCTCCCTCCCCCAAACCTTAGCTTGGCCTGCCTTGCCTTGGCTGGCTTTGGCTGGCTGGCCTACCGTACCAACCGCTGCTTCCGATCCGATCCGATGCGATGCGATGCGAACCGATGCGATACCCATTCAGATTCGCCCGACGCCACCGAGCAGGTGCGTACGTGGTTGCTTTTCCGTGGCCCTGCCTGCTTGACCTGCCTGGTCCGTATCGCCCCTGTGTCGTCCCCCTTTCCCTTTGCCCCTTTGCCCCTTTACCCCTCTGCACCATCATTCTGTCCTGAAGGCGGAGGCGGAGGCGGAGGCGGAGGGAAAGGCAGGCTGCACCCTTCTCCATCACGGGTTACATGCAGCACGGGGGTAGGCAGGTCGGACTCGAGATGCCAGCAGATGAGACGGCACGCCGACGAGGGAGAAGGGGAGGGGACAAGGATCCGGGATATCCATGCTGCGACGAGCGACGAGGTACGAAGACGATACGACCGGCCCTGCAAGGCGGTCTGCGGCGACAGAGAGAGAGAGAGTGTGTGTGTGGTGTGTGTGTGTGCCGGGGCGAGCAGAGAGAGAGGGGGAAGGAGGGGCGGGGAGGGGACAGGGCAACAGACGCACCACAGTGAGAGGCACAGAGGGAGAGAGAGACTACAGTTGGAGTGGAGCGGAGTGGGTGGAGCGGAGTGGAGTGAACCGGAAAGGAGTGCAACGGAGGGGGAGGGCAGGAGTCGAGACGAATGGGTAGCGAACAAGATACGACGAGAGATGGTGACAGCCACGAGCGGTCAGTGGCCCTGATTCCCTGAACAGCCCCCGCCCCGCCCCGCCCCGTCCCGCCTCGCCCCGCCCCGTCCCGCCCTGGCAATACCCCCGACGACAAGATACAAGTGGTGGTGACCGTGTACGAGACACAAACGCCCGGCCGTGGTCCGGGTCGCAGAGGGTCAGATTCATCCTGGCAAAGTCCTTTTGAAGACCAAGAGCGGGGGCAGTGGGCAAAGAGTCGGAGAACGGTGCCGCCGGTAGAGTCGAGGTGGCACGTGGCGGCGAGGATGCCGGCGAGGCGGCGTGGGCGACGGCACAGGGCCCATTGCGCCCAAGCGCGCAACGCAGCGGGTTGCCACAGAAACGACCGCCGCTGGACCGACCGGTCAGCACTGGTAGAGGAGGTCGGTGGGGAAGATGATGCCGTCGTGGCGCACCAGCAGGATCGGCACCTGGCCCCGCGGCACGCCGTACTCGAGCGAGGGCGGGGCCGCGCAGACAATGGTGCCGCGCGACCGCACCTCGACCACCTCGCTCTTCCAGTCTCCAAAGTAGACGAAAAGGTTCGGGTGGAAGTTCTCGCCCAGCAGCGTCGCCATGCCAGTCGACCGCTCCGACGGCGGTGGGGCGGGTCCGCTGCTGGTGGTGCCGGTGCCGGTGCCGGTGCCGGTGCCGCTGCTGCCGCTGCCGCTGCCGATGCCACCACCACCACCGCCGCCGCCGCCGCTGACCACGGCTCCCTGGCGCCCCGGCGGCGGCACCACGCTGTAGAGCAGCGGGATGGGCGTGATGGGCTGCGAGGGGGCTGGCACAGTGATGAGGTGCGAGATGCTGCTGTCGGCCACCGAGGCCGTCGGCTGCGAGCCCCCGACGATCCGCGGCGGCACGTAAAACGAGTGGCGGGCAATGTCGGTGCCGACAATGGTCCAGATGTCCGAGTCGGCCACGTCGACCGACCACATGGCGCCCGGCGCGACGCTTCCGGCCGCCGACGACGCGTCCGACGCCAGCGAGCTCGAGTAGGACGACGTGCGGCGGATCAGCTCGTGCTCCCCCGTGCCCTGGGCCGCCTGGTTCTGCATGCCCACCACCGAGAGCGACTGGCCGCGCTTGCGATTCTTGCTGTTGGCAGATGCGGCCCGCTCCTTTTGCATCACCACCGACGACGACACGCGACGCGGCCGCTTGACCTTGCCGCCGTCGTTGGACGCCGCCGCCGCGGCATTGGCGGCATCGATGGCGGCATTGGCGGCGGCAGCTGCCGAGGCCGAGTTGCTGGGCGGCGGATGCGCCGATCCGCCCGGCGACAGAAACGTGCCGCGACCGGCCGTCATCGAGTAGCGGGTCTGCGCGGCGGCATAGGCGGCCGCCATCGACGTCGGGCTCGCCGGGAAGGACGAGAGGTGCTTGGCCACGTCGGCCTCGGCGGCT